AAGTAATAAAATCTAAATTATTAATATTTTTTTTAAAGTGAGTTCTATTAGAGAATCTAAACATTATTTCCAAAAAAAAAAAGTCAGAAGGTATTATTTTTTATTTTTATTTAACTCTTTATTGCACTATAAATTTATGTACTATGCTGACGGTTAATTGTTGATATTCCTTAAAAGACTTTTTTTTTATTTCGAAAATGCCTCCGGCGTTACTAATATTCAAAAGCCATGCTAATAGTTTTACTACAGCTAATGAACTAATAGCTAGTAAACTAATAAGCTATTAGCTTAGTGGCTATTAGCTCACTAGTTATTAGCTTACTAGCTAATAACTTAGTAATGGCTAGCTTATTTTTCAGCTCTCATCCTATTTGTTTAGAAAAATAACCGATTTATCTCCACGGAAGGGTATTATTTATTTATTTTGTGATACATAGGTAACAATGGATGGTAAAACAAGATAAGTCCTCTATGATCAACCTCATCTATCGAGGTATACAAATTTTAAACAAACATACAGTATTCTAGTTTACAAATTCGAGTATACAAATTCTAGGTATTCATTCATATCAAGAGTAATTACTAATTTTCTTTTAACGATAATTTTCAGAAGCAAATACAACTTCAAATTCTTTATTTCTTATATCCGAGGACACATACACATACATACACACAGATTGAGTTGAAACAAGAAAATACAGTTCAACGCTAAAGAAAACCATCAAGTTTCATTAACAAAGTGACACTATGGTGTAAACTGAAATAATAGAGACAAACATATGAAATAGGTCGCAATAAAAGCGTATAAAGAATTAGAGGTGTGTTCCGCTGCGGAGCGGCTAAACGTCGACCTTGGCTATTTCACAGTTAACATTCTATATAGATCTGTTATTGTAACTGTTTTTACTGCAATAGAAAATACAGACAGACACTGTTTTTCGGTGTGTAAGTTTTATTTTGTATTTTTAGTTAAATAACTTTATTGTCCAAAAAAATATATCCAAAAAAAATATGGTACAAAAGACGAACTTAATGCTAGTAGCATTCTTTACCAGCCATTGGGATGAACAGTGAATCACGAACGCGGTATTTTATTACTGGGATCGGCATAAAACAATAGCTAATAATGTATACTTATGCCCTGCATAGAATAGGCCACTTTTTCCTTTCCCGTGGGAGAAGCTAACTAAGGGAGGGCGAGGGATAGGTAGCAGCGTCCCTCCTAAAATGTCACTAAAGCCTAACTGCGGTTGCCAACCCACATGCCAAGCAAGGAAACTACTAGCTACCCCTTATGGGGGATGCCTATGTTCAGCAGTGGACAATTAAGGGTTGATATAATAATAGTACATTACTGCAGCGGCCAACAACTGAGGCATTGATGGACGAACGTGCAAATATGGGCCGAGGCGTAGCCAAGGCACACATACGTGAGTCCATCAAAGCCTAGTGTGGCCAAGGCTTGTATAGTAATTTTCTCAAACAATGCGCGGAAATCAAAAACACAATTTTACTTTTTAACTTCAATGACGAATAACGGACAATAATAATTTTTCACGCGCCATAATGTTCCTTTGTTTTTTTTAATAAACAACTTTCTATTTGCAATCCAGTTCGAAATTTAAATAAAACTTTTTATTACGAGTAGTTACCTCCTTGGTAGCCATATTTCGAAGTTATAGGTCATTCCATTTTTAAATTACAGGACAGATATGAGTTTATATAGTAATTTATCTGGCTGCAAAACACGACAGATATAGACTTTCATACAACTTTTGCCGGCCGCTGCCCACATGTATCTGGCTAGTACGGCAATTTTAATTTATCTCGAAGAAGACTGTCAAAATAATGCTCACATTTCCAAGCATGTTTGAGAAAATATTATTTATGCATTATCTATGTATCTGTCTAATTTTTTTTAATATATAACACTCTGGTTGCTTGCGATCGTGTAGCCTATTTTCAGGCTGCAGGTTGAAAATCAGTGCTTTGCTTTTAAGCAAAACTATCTCTAAGCTGTGATCTATTTGAATCACTGGAACACACATGGCGAAAACATATTTGTTGTTTAAAATTATTTATTTAAACTTTACTGACAAATAAAATGCGTACAAATGTGCACCTTTTGTACAAAGGTGGATATAATGCTGTAGACAATCTCTACCAGTTTTTAGTAATTTATCTTTTTTTTTACACAACTTAGAATGGCAAATAAGCTGACGGCCCACCTGATAGAAAATGGCAACCGACGCCCATAGACATGGGCAGTACCATGGACACAACAGAGTACACTGTTTCGCCCATGATACCCCCATGCGTTGCCATTCCTGAGGACTCAGGTGTTATGCCTCTGTACCCTGTAAATTCACGCCATATTCCACCCTTCAAACTGAAACACAGCCATGCAAACGCAACTGCTTCACGGTAGAAACACGAATGGGACAGAGGTACCCAAGCAATCGATTTTTGTACAAAGTCTCCCTCTGGTAAATTACTTTTTTTGTATTTTCTTTTTTTAATTATTACATAACTCATTTATTTAATTGTATAATTTTGTTCATTTTTTTATTAATATACGTATATCATAAATGACTCGAATGAAATGTGTTTATGTATTAATCTGTTTACAGGTAAAACGCTTTCAAAATATTTTTGCCCCTTACGTTAGTTAACAACATGACTGTGGAATTGCGTCGTCGATTTTCCGTCGTCATATTCATTCATCACTTTGAAACTTCCGCAAATTATAAAGATACTATATCAATTAAGTGACTGCGCATAACTCTTGCACGATAGCTCATTACCACTATGACTGGCGTACGAGTGGCTTCATTTGCGACCTATACGGATCATGCTAGCTTTAATTAATATATAGGTATTTAGGTATGTTGTGTTTTAAAAACAATAAGCACTAATAAGCTTGTTGGCATTAACTAAACATGTTTTTTTATACAACTTAGAATGGCAAACAAGCTGATGGCCCACCTAATGGTAAGTGGTAACCGTCGCCTATAGACATGAGCAGTACCATACATATAACAGAGTATACTGTTTCGCCCATGATACCACCCATACATTGCCATTTCTGAGGACTCAAGTGTTAATTCTCTGTACCCTGTAAATTCACTGCCATATACCACCCTTGAAACCGAAACACAGCCATGCAAACAAAACTGCTTCACGGTAGAAACACGAATGGTCGAGAAATGTACGTGTGATTTGGCAGGAGTAATGAAATTCTAATTATTTTTGCTAGATTATGCTACTTGCTCTTCTTTTTTGCTTCAATTTATTTTTCTTATGTAATGCACTTTTTATTGGATGTTTGCTTTTGTCTTGATTATTGTTAGTAGTTAAAGTGCGTTAATTAAATTCTGAATGTTGTGCTCGCCTTTCATAGGTACTTGTATTAGATCTAATTTTGTATATTTTTTTATATATTATACATTCACTGTTGGTGTAGCTTAATAAATAAATAAATAGACTTTGTATATACATATATACAGCATCAAGTTCGTCTGTGTAACCAGGATATGTTTACTGACCGGTCTTCTCCATCCCATATATTACGTGTATACCAAATTTTATAGTGATAAGTTAAGCCATGAAGACACTATAAGGTAACAAACAAACAAACTGAGTGAGAGTTTATTTAACAATAACACAACAGGAGGCATAAATTCTAAAAATTATTAACATGTTGATCCTTGATCCACTTATTGAAACATATTGAGCCATGTGATATTTCCTTCCATGAACGCTCAGCTTATGGTTATGGAATGAGCTCTTTCTCGACGTTTTGCCTAGAGACTAGAGCATGAGGTTCTTCAAAATGGGGTAAAGAGGTTTCTTCAGGGTCGACAACGCACGCATAATTTATTATATATTTTACCAAATCCTTTTAATACTCGTATAATAAAAGCGAAATATTTGTAACGGTGTATGAATGGATATTGAAAATTGAATAGATTTGTATAAAATTTAGTATACGTAGGTAGTAGGTTTTAGGCTAATTTACCTGATAGATTACTTTATGATTATAACTTTACTAATTCAAACGTGCAGAGCCATGATTTTTCAATGGCATAAAGTTAATACACCGTTCAATGTTGCAACTATGTTTCAGATCAACAAAATCTATACCAAGAACGAAATGTTTAAAATTAATAATGTAATCTGTTGTTTCAAGACGTAGAATTTCTTTAATATGTACAGTTGGCTAAGAAAGCTCCTCTCTCTCTTAAGTTGAGACTACTCAATAATGTTATGAGCCAGTATCCACATCTAGACGTATTTGTCTCCAACGTGATAGAGTTTCGTCGAACGGCCATTGAGTGTTAACACTAACATTCAATGTTACTTGAAATTTTAGTACATTACTGCAGCGGCCAACAACTGAGGCATTGATGGACGAACGCACAAATGTGGGCTGAGGTGTAGCCGAGGCACAAATACGTGAGACCATCAATGCATAGTTGTGGCCAAGGCTTGTATAGTAATTTTCTCAAATAATGCGCGGAAATCAAAAACATAATTTTACTTTTTAACTTCAATGACGAATAACGAACAATAATAATTTTTCACGCGACATAATGTTCCCTTGTATTTTTTTTCAATAAACAGCTTTCTATTTGCAAGCCAGTTCGAAATTTAAATAAAACCTTTTATTAGTTACCAGTTAGGTAGGTAGCCATGTTTCGAAGTAAAAGGTCATTCCATTTTTTAAATTACAGGACAGATATGAGTTTACATAGTAATTTATCTGGTCGCAAAACACGACAGATATGGATTTTCATACAACTTTTGCCGGTCGCTGCCCGCATGTATCTGGCCAGTACGGCAATTTTGATTTATCTCGAAGAAGATTGTCAAAATAATGCTCACATTTCCAAGCATGTTTGAGAAAAAAAAATATTGCGACCAGAGGGTTGACCTATACTGTGCTCAGCGCATCTCCATAGCTATTCGGCTTGGATATGCAGCAAGCCTCCTAGATACACTACCAGTTGGCAGTGACCTCAAAGATTTTTTTTATCTTTAAGTATTATTTTAAAGGTATTGTTATTAATATTTATAGTACTTAGATGTTATTTATATTATTATTGTATAGTTATACAGTATTTATTCTAGTACAATATTTTCCTGGGCATATTGGGAGGTTGTAAAGCTCACCTAGTTGATAAAAATAAATATATTCCATAGTATTTAAAGAATCCGAGCATATCTCTTTTTATATCACATTCTTCTTCTAATATAAAACTACTAGCTGACGACCCGTCACCTATTGTGTTCGATAAGGCACGCGTAAAAGTATACGTGAACAAGATAAAAAGAGAAATTGATAAGAGTGAATAATGTATCTTTCCACTCACTGCTTGTGTATCCGAAGTCGTCTTCTTCCTCGGTGTCTGCTTCTTTCTCTTCTTTACTGCGTTTCACTGCTCCCGCTGATGCTCTGTCGATCTAAAGGAAAGACGAATTTTGTTTTATATATATATATATAGCTAGATTTGTTTATGTGAATACATTTCACAATTTAATGCAAATCTTTTTTTAATTTTTACTGGAGGTTAAAACAATTTTCTAATAGTAAAAACTAAAAATTTGCCATATTTGATATATTTTTTTATTATTATTAAAAGTGTCATAAATAGATACATTCATATTGTAGAGTTAGGTTCGCGCTCTTGCATTGTTACTTAGGGTCCCGGATAGTTTAGAAACTAGTCAAGAATTCTCGACAAAAAAATCACGTAAAATAAATTCGGTTATTCTTATTTTGAAAAAGAGTCTTATAATTTTTCCTCAAACATGCTTGGAAATGTGAGCATTATTTTGACAATCTTCTTCGAGATAAATCAAAATTGCCGTACTGGCCAGATACATGCGGGCAGCGGCCGGCAAAAGTTCTATGAAAATCCATATCTGTCGTGTTTTGCGACCAGATAAATTACTATGTAAACTCATATCTGTCCTGTAATTTAAAAAATGGAATGACCTTTTACTTCGAAACATGGCTACCTACCTAACTGGTAACTAATAAAAGGTTTTATTTAAATTTTGAACTGGCTCACAAATAGAAAACTGTTTATTGAAAAAAAAATACAAGGGAACATTATGGCGCGTGAAAAATTATTATTGTTCGTTATTCGTCATTGAAGTTAAAAAGTAAAATTATGTTTTTGATTTCCGCGCATTGTTTGAGGAAAGTACTATACAAGCCTTGGCCACAACTATGCATTGATGGACTCACGTATGTGTGCCTCGGCTACGCCTCGGCCCACTTTGCACGTTCGTCCATCAATGCCTCAGTTGCTGTCCGCTGCAGTAATGTACTATTTCTATTGAATTAAAACCTACCTCTACACCTTTCTCTGAATATATTCTCCCACCAAGTTCTCTTTCGTCTTCCTCGTCGCTACTCTCCGAATCGGAGTACACCGGTTTTTTCTGTTCTTCTGATGTAGAATCTTTTGATTCTTCTTTTTCTGTTTCCACTTCAGTTTCTTTTCCGTTCTCAGTGTCTCCATCCGATGTTACTGTTATCTGTATACAATATTTAGATTAAGAAAGTAGTTGTAAGTTAAAATACTATAAACACATATGCCACTTGTATGTCTTTAATAATTATTTTATAACTATTGTAAAAACAAGTCAAGTATTGTAAAACAGTCTAGACTCCAGTGGGTAACTTCGCTCACACATTAGTATTATTATTAGTATCTTGTGTACAAACCTTGATCTCATGCTGTGGTGTTCTGTTTACTGCTGGTATTGGAACTGGTGATTTTCGAGCTGATTGCACCGAATGAACTGGCGACATAGGCGGAGACGACGCTTCCATATCTGAAGAGTCTGTGTTCTGGATAAATAATTCAGAAATATTAGAGGAAGAAACTGTACAAAAGTTCTTTCTGTTCTCCTTTAACCAAAGGTTGTCTGTAAGAGATTGCCCTAGCGATAAGACCGCCTTTTGTACCTTTATGTGTATATTTCAATCTGTATTTATGTTACTGTATTTCACTTGAATTATTCACTTGTCATTGTATATTTTTATTAATGGTGCAATAAGGAGTTAAATAAATAAATAAATAAAAAGTCTCTAATGAAATCTTTGACCACTCATGTTTTTTCGCCATACATCTTCAGTTTGAAAGGAAAAAAAACAGTGAAATTACAAGATGCTAAGGCATCATTATAGTGTTATAGTATATATTATAGTATTATAGTGTCTCTGTAATAAATATCCATGGTGCTCTTCATGTCTGTAAGCAACTGCAACAGGGGTATTAAGATTTCTTCAAAGTTTGCAAGGTGCATGTAACATATATTTTTTTTACAACACAGGGGGTAAACGAGCATGCGGCTCGCCTGGTGGTAAGTGACTACCGCCGCCCATGATCACCCACAATATAACACTAAAGGTATTGCAGGTTTGCTGCCAGCCTTTTAAAAAGGAATATGCTCTTTTTTTGAAGGTTATGTTGTCGTATCAGTTCGGAAAGATTAGCAGTTTAGCAGATGTCCTAGCCTATGAGCACCTGCAATACTAGGGGTGTAACTCTTTATCATCAGACGAGCTGTATGCTTGTTTGTGACTTTTGTAATGTAAATATCCAGATTATAAGCTCACCCATGCTAGTAGACTCTGGACTGTGAGGGTGACCACATCACCGGCTGCTCTGATCAGCTGCACTGCTCGCTCGTGGGGCGCGGAGCGAACGCATACACCGTCTACTTCCAAAATACGATCCCCTGTCTTTTGGAAACAAAAAATTAAAGATAACGAAAAAACACGAACGACGTACGAACAAACGGCAAATAAAATCATTCTAGCAATGAATTCGTTTACTATTTTTTACGTACATCTTTTTCGGGTATGTATGAAAAAGAAGTTATATCTCAAGTATGAAGTAGCGATGACGTATCTATCGATAGATCGGCTAAAGAAGCTGTAATCACATTTGTAACTACTCTCACATGGAATCAGAAACTTATGTCTAACATATTTCATTCTATTATCACAGAAAAATAATATTTAATTATTAAATCATGTTTCAATAACGATTAATCATTCCTTCGTTAATTGTTATTCATTTCTTATCTCTGTGTTCTTATTTTGCTCGGAATATTTATTTATCTTTTGAAAAATTAAGGAAATCCTAAATTATAAACTACTAAAGATGTTTCCAATTTTCTTGCTGGCTTTTGCTAAATAAATCTAATAATAACACAGTCAATACTTACTTGTAATTCGCCGCTGTTACCAGCTGGACTTTCAGGCACGACGTTTTTGATGAAAATACCAAAAATTGCTTTCTCATCCCCAACTTCGCCATCTTGATTAGACACGATGTCGACCTGTTAAGTGTTGTTTACAATTTTAAATAGTAACAGTACGCTTACCCTCTTATTCATAAAAACGTCAAACATCTTATTATTTTCTCTTATTTTTTTTTTGTCAATTTGTTAAAGAAAATAACAAAACAGTGTAATAATTAAAATAGATATAAATAATAAAATATATAAAATTAAATAGTAGATGGTTTTAGCTTATATGAATTAGTATTGTTATCTATTCTATTTTTTTTTTATTTATTAAAAATTCTAATCTATTATTTGTAAGTATGCCTTACATACTTATTTCTTACACAGGCACTTTTTCTATTTCGCCTTACGGCCTTAATCACTGTGTATTTTATTGTAATCTAAAAATATATATTTCTCTTAATCTAATATGTATTTACTTAAATAAGTAATGTGAACATATGTATAAAAGTCCAATTTGTACCTACGGTCCTAACACATTTATAAATTACTTTGTAAGCAGAGAAAGGCCTAAGTAATAAATCACAGCTTACATTAAATAAGAGGTAATAATTTAATTTTAATTACGTACAATACGTAGTACCTTATTTGAGGCAAATGTAAATAAACTGTTCGTGTGCCCGCGAGCTCCATCTAGACCAGTATTTTTCAATCTTTTTCATGACGCGATCCCCTTTTTATGTAAAAATATCTTGTGACCCCCTACCCTCCACATTTTCGAATGTGAATGAATTTTATTACAGTACAATTACGAATTTTTATTTTTTTATACAACTTAGAATGGCAAACAAGCTGACGGCTCACCTGATGGAAAGTGGTAAACGTCGCCTATACGAGGTCTGTCCGGAAAGTTCGTATAAAAGTATTCTGGAATGCGAGAAAGAGGAGTGGGGAGGCCAGGTAAGCGCAGGACCCTTCCTTATGTCCCTAACAATGCTTCAGTTCTGGTCTGACCGCCGTGCGGTGCGAATGGCTTGTCACGCCATCTGTGAAGTTACCTCTTAACGAAACCCCGTCGGCATGGAGCCCGCTTCCGTTGAAGAGCAGCGCGTCGTAATCAAGTTTCTCTCGAAACTCGGCAAGAATGGCCGTGAAAGCAAAGAGTGGAAGACATCCGGGGAACCACGAACAAAAAATCAAGAAAATCCCGCTCAAATGTCAAGACAATGTTGATTGTTTTTTTCGATGTTCGGGGGATTGTCCATCAAGAATTCGTCCCTCCAGGCCAGACAGTTGATGGAAAAAAATCGATGTGCTCAGACGCCTCAAAGCTCGTGTGGCACGAGTTCGTCCAGAATTGGCGCGAGAGGGGCGTTGGATTCTTCACCACGACAATGCCCCTGCCCACACCTCTCTTGTTGTCCGTGAGTTTTTGAGTAAAAATTCCATTACGGTGACCGAACACCCCCCCTATTCGCCGGATTTGGCCCCGTGTGACTTCTTCTTGTTCCCAAAAACCAAATTGGTACTTCGGGGGTGGCATTTGGGGGACATAAATGAGATAAAAAAAGCTACGACGGGGCAGCTGAGAAACCTACAACCAGAGGACTTTCAAGGAGCCTTCTCACAGTGGAAACGGCGTTGGCACAAGTGCATTATGTCACAGGGGGAGTACTTTGAAGGGGATAAAATTGATTTACCTGAATAATTGTAAAATAAAATTTTTAAAAAACTTTTATACGTACTTTCCGGACAAACCTCGTAGACATGAACAGTATGGCGTACTGTACTGGCAATGTAGGTATATTAGTTTTTTTTTTTATGTCTAATTTAGCTTACTGAATTAAAACCAATTCTTACTAAACAATTTTGCTGAAATTTTGCATAGTACTGGTACCATAGTTCTGATAACAATTCTATATGAACTACAAAATATTGTAATATTTTTAAAATGGCCGCCAACACAAGATGGCGGATGGTGTACGTTTTGTCAATCCTATCAATATGGGTATTAAATAAAAGAGCATGAAATGTAGGTAACGATAAAAGAAACGGTATCTTTTGGAATGGCAGCCACAAGATGGCAGATTACATTATAACAGACTCGTAACAGACATGTTTAAAACAAAAGTTTAAATTTACAATTTTTTAAATAACAACCAAACGCGCAATTCCAAAACTGACCTTTCCACCAACAATGCTGACTCCCAAAGGTGCTCCGGGACTTCTTTTCAGTGTGACCCGGCGTGGCGCACCCCACCGTTGGGCTACGAGCGTCTCGCGCCGGTCGGGGGACACTGTCACCGTCATCGCTGATTGTGGAATGTAACTGTCACAAACAAAACTTGTATTTGATTAAGGTTCGCTAAATTTAAGAGGCTAAGGCTAAGAGCGGTGACAGATTGACGGATGCACGGACAAAGTGGCACCATAAGTGATCCTTTGCACCGGATTTTTTGTTTATTTAATTTGCTACGGATTAAAAAAAAAATTAGAAGAACTTACTCTCTTTGAAACCTATCAGGTTTATGCACGTTTATAATACAGTAAGAAAATATTGCTTAAGTGAATTTAATTTGAGGTGAAGTCAATTTAAATGGCCTCACCCCATCTGACGCGACCCTGAGTTATGGGTCAGTGGGACATTGGCCGCAGCTCCTGATGCAACACTGAACTCAATTAAAATGATAGCACCACTATTTAATGGCAACACTAAAACATATTATGACGTGATAATTCGATTTTCGTCAGAGAATACCTCATTTTGATCTAATCTTCGTTTGATTAAAATAATTAATATTAATAAATTTATTTAAACAAAAATGCGGGTACACAATTTATTTATCAGTGATTACTACACTAGGCTAACAGCCATTATCCGTCCACTGCTGGATATAAGCCTCCCCATAGACTGCCATAAAGAACGGTCCTGCACGGAGCTACCTGCATCCACTGACTCACTGGTCGTCACTCCATCTAGTGGGGCGTCGTCCTATACTGCGTTTACGGTCGCCACTCAAGAACCTTTCTTCCTAACTGAGTGTCGGGTGTCTACTTAGTACATATTTATTGCCAATTACAGCCCTGTTCTTGTACAATTTTATCATTTAAGTAACTCAAAAAGGTATATTTTGAAATGAAATGAAAGAGAAAGGAACAAAAAGGTAGAGATATCATATAACATAAAAAAAAAAAACTACAAATAACCAAACAATTTCATTAGTGTATTTGCTACTAGTAGGAACTGGTCTGTTCAAGAATACTGATAGAGTGTTTTTTTTTTCAATATGAAGAATTTAGTCATATTTCAGTTTTTATTTTACCAGAGGAAGACTTTGTACAAAAGTCGTTTACTCGATCACCTTTGTTCCATTCGTGTTTCTACCGTGAAGCAGTTGTTTGCATGGCTGTGGTCGCTTTGAAGGATGGGGTGTAGCAGTGAATTTACAGGGTACAGTGGAATAACACCTGAGTCCTCAGGAATGGCAACGCATGGGCGGTATCATGGGCGAAACAGTACACTCTGTTATGCCCATGTTACTACTTTCCATCAGGTGGGCCGTCAGCTTGTTTACCATTCTAAGTTGCATAAAAAATTTATACAAAAGAGATTTCTTTAGGGTCGCCAACGCGTAATGCCCCTAGTATTGCAGGCGTTCATAAGCTACAGTATCAGATGGGCCATATTCTTGTTTGTCATCTCAGTGGTATAATAAATAAATAAATTAACATTTTATAATAGTTATCGGATATATTAAATGAGATGAATTTCAATTAAGTTGAATGTTATTAGAGTAACAATGCGACGTAGAGAGCAATCTATAACTGCCAGTCGCGACCACGGCTGAGTGAGCGCGCCTGCGCTGCATGCCACGTCACTTGTGACGGATTTCATCAGTTTTATTGTGTTGCGAGAGACTAATTAATCCTTAGATATAGGTTAGTTTACAGCTCGTCAGCGTCAGAGGTGTTCTAGCGTCAGGGGTGCTCCTCTCTGGAAATCTGTCCGATTCTAGAATAAGGGCATACGGGTATGCGACCCCGGCCTCCCGAGCCGCTGCAGTGTCCCAGTCCTTTCCGCAACTGCAGTGTCCCTTTCGTTTCCCACATAATTTCCTTATTCCCCTCATTTACCAATTTCCTTTACGCATTTCCAACGTTCCTTTACTTTTTTCCTCAATCCTTTCCCCCATACCGTAGGTGGCGTGTTTTTTTTTTTTTTTACAACACAGGGGGCAAACGAGCATGCGGCTCACCTGATGGTAAGTGACTACCGCCGCCCATGATCACCCACAACACCAGCGGCATTGCAGGTGTGCTGCCGGCCTTTTAAAAAGGAATATACTCTTTTCTTGAAGGTTATGTTGTCGTATCGGTTCGGAAATACTGCTGCTGGAAGTTGATTCCAAAGAATGGTTGTGCGTGGAAGAAAGTGCCTTGAAAAACGCACGGTGGAAGACCGCCACTCGTCCAGATGATTGGGATGAAACTTTAGTTTGTGGCGGGTTGTACGGTGGTGAAAATCAGCAGCAGGTATCAATCCGAACAATTCCTCAGAACACTCCCCATGATAAATTCGGTAGAAGATGCACAGAGATGCAACATCTCTGCGCAGTTTCAATGGGTCAAGTCGGACAGTAAGGCGTTGACTATCGATAATTCGAGCCGCCCGACTTTGAATGCGGTCTAACGGAAGGAGTTGGTACTGTGGCGCTCCTGCCCACAGGTGAGAACAGTATTCCATATGCGGCCTGACTTGGGCTTTATATAATTTCAGGCGGTGTTCTGGCATGAAATATCGTCTCACCCTATTGAGCACTCCTAACTTTTTGGAAGCTATCTTAGCCTTCTCTTCCAGATGACCGCAAAACTGGACGTCGCAAGATATATCAACGCCCAGAATTCCTAGACTCGACTTTTTATCAAGGAAAGTGCCCTGAAAGTGAGGAGATACGACAAACGGCGTCTTTTTTGCGGTAAACGCGCAGACTTGTGTCTTTTTGGGGTTAAATTGGACAAGATTTTGTTCACCCCAGACCGAAACTTGATGGAGTGAAGTTTCGATTTCAGACACAAGTCTATTCCGGCACTCATCGGTATGTGTCCGCGAGATCTTTGCATGACCGGTATATAATGTATCTCCTGTACTGTCGTCTGCATAGCAATTAATATTACTTATCTGTAACATATCATTGATATGCAGAAGAAACAGAGTCGGAGATAGTACACAGCCTTGCGGGACACCAGCATTCAAAGGTTTTAAATCAGAGCATGCACCGTCGACTACGACCTTAATGCTACGTTCCTTGAGAAAACTGGCGACCCAAATGCACAGTCTCGCAGTCCCATTGCCATCAGATTCACCTTCAAGCAGTCTGCATTACTAACAATTCCTTCCCTCCCAACCCTTTTGCTAGCAATGTTTTATCAGGTCGGCTTATGCACAGTTTCTTCTGTAAACCATAGTGGTTAATTCTTGAATTCGCCACGATGGACCAAATGACCTGCTTTTATCATCTACTTTCATCTCTTATAATTTAATTAAGTAAATTTTGGTAATAGTATATATTTAATTTATCCTTGAAACAAATCCCGTCACATCCACAGGTGTCGATAAATTAATGAGTCCGGACATCTGTCCAACAAACTCCATTATCATCGTGTTGGAAAGAAAAAATAAATAATTATCCATGAATTTCCATTAATGTCTTGTATGGAATTAAAAATAAACAAAAATATCCTATAATTCCTAATACTATAATGTTGGTATTGAAAACACAATAAATAATGTTTTCTCAAACATGCTTGGAAATGTGAGCATTATTTTGACAATCTTCTTAGAGATAACACAAAATTGCCGTACTGGCCAAGATACATGCGGGCAGCGGCCGGCAAAAGTTCTATGAAAATCCATATCTGTCGTGTTTTGCGGCCAGATAAATTACTATGTAAACTCATATCTGTCCTGTAATTTAAAAATGGAATGACCGTTTACTTCGAAACATGGCTACCAAGGAGGTAACTAATACAAGGTTTTATTTAAATTTCGAACTGGCTTGCAAATAGAAAGCTGTTTATTGAAAAAAAAAAAACAAAGGAACATTATGGCGCGTGAAAAATTATTATTGTTCGTTATTCGTCATTGAATTTAAAAAGTAAAATTATGTTTTTGATTTCCGCGCATTGTTTGAGAAAAGTACTATACAAGCCTTGGCCACAACTAGGCATTGATGGACTCACGTATGTGTGCCTCGGCTACACCTCGGCCCACATTTACGTTCGTCCATCAATGCTTCAGTTGCTGGCCGCTGCAGTAATGTACTATTTCCAACAATTTTCATTACTGTCATGTTCGAATCGACAAATAGATTAATAGGAGTTGTCTAGAAATTGCTATTATAATCTCGCAAATTAATATAAATATTATAGTGCGGCGAACAGGGTTAATTTTAAATATGTGACATTGAATGTGAGTTTGGATATGCATAGGTGTTTGTATGGGTGTGTGTGTGTGTGTGTGTGTGTGTGTGTGTGTGTGTGTGTGTGTGTGTGTGTGTGTGTGTGTGTGTGTGTGTGTGTGTGTGTGTGCGTGTGCGTAAGTTATTTATAATATTTTATATATAAAAGGCAAAGGGTGGTCCTTTCTCTTTTTTCTCAATGTCCTCTACCCAAAGGTTGTCTGGAAAACGTTACTTATCAAAAAGGCCACCTTTTGCACCACTTCTCACAAAAACTAACTGTATTTACTATTTTATAAATGATGCAATAAAGTGTAAAATAAATAAATAAAAAAGTCACTACCAAATCGCAATCTGATAATTCCATTTACTCTACTGGAATACAAAATACAATTTACAAATTGCTAAGTAATATCCTTAATAGAACATAATCCAATTAGAAGCAGGGAAACTTTATACACTAGAATACTGAATAGTTTACAAATTTCTCTTAACGTTTACATGGAAAATAAAGTAACTAATTGTTATTATACGGAAATGAAAATTCCATTTCGGTCCAACAAACAGTTTTAACCAAATTAAACGGTAAAGGGTTAAGTTGTATGCGAGTTTAGACAGTCAGGGCCTTGGTGGTGTAGTGAACACACTAACTTTCCGATGGTCGGGGGAAATAGATAGATAGATACTCTTTATTGTTTCCTCCAAAAGATTACAACAGTAAACCTATTATAAATATAAACAATTACAAGAAATAATCACAATGAGAAAACAATGGGCGATCTTATCGCTAAAAGCGATCTCTTCCAGGCAACCTTTGGATGGAAAGGAGTAATTATAAACAGTTTGATTGGAGGCACGATGGAGATCCACG